ATAGTAAAGTGTTTGACATGTGCTCTTTAATAGTAAAGTGTTTGACACGTGCTCTTTAATAGTAAAGTGTTTGACACGTGCTCTTTAATAGTAAAGTGTTTGACATGTGTTCTTTAATAGTAAAGTGTTTGACGCGAGTGTTTGACATGTGCTCTTTAATAGTAAAGTGTTTGACGCGAGTGTTTGACATGTGCTCTTTAAACCAAACCAGCCGAACAGCTGAAGTCAGTCACATGATCTCCAACAAAACCTGCTTGAGTTGTTTCTGAAGATTAAAAAGTTTTTACCACAAACTTCTGTTGCTTCATTGAAGAGCAGACCCTGGTCTGAGGCTGCACGCTGGATCAGCTGCTAGAGCTGCCGCCTCTCAGCCAACAGGTCGCCGGTTCAAATCCCAGACGGAGGTCTGTCTGGGTGGTGTTTGAATGTTCTCCCCGTGCTGCGTGGGTTTTCTCCCACAGACCAGAAACATGCAGCCAGAGTTCCCAGTCAGCCATGTTAGGCTGACTGGGAACTCTGGATTGTCCCTAGGTGAGAGAGTGAACTGTGTCCCTGTGATGGACTGGAGACCTGTCCAGAGTGTCCCCCACTTCTCGCACAGTGATTGCTGGAAATGGGCACCAGTGACTCCAACAGGAAGAAGTGGGTAAGATGATGGAAGGACTGTTATCTGCATGTTGAATCACTAAAACTAAAGATGTGAGTGTGGAAGTAAAATCTTTGTCACGAACTGTGGACATGCTGCCACCTGCTGGTGAAAAATGTTGACTGCTTCATGATGACGACATGCATCTGAAGTTGATACAAACTTTGACCCAGCCGGTCAGAGCAGATGTTCGCTCGTCCTGACCCTGGTTCTGTTGGAGGTTTGTTCCTGTTAACGGGAGTTTGTCTTCCCACTGTCTCCACTGTGCTTGTTCAGGATGAGAGACTGTGATGAAGGTTCAACTGGTCTGCTGCTTCCTGAGATAAAGAACTTTACTGTCTTTTCTCTGTGAATGTTCCTGTAACGTGCCCGACACAACTCTCGTGATGAGGAGCTATAAATACAGAATGAGCTGAATACAACAAGTGTTCAGAAGATAACGTCCACCTCGAGTGCAGAAACAGCAAACAGATGCATGTTCATTCGTTCATGTGGATGAAAACTGCACGTTGAAGAAACTCATGTGTAAAAGTACCGTACATGTAAAACACTGACATGTGCTCGGTGTAAAGCACAAACGTCGATTAAGAAGGAACGGCTGCTGGAAGTCTGACTTTAATTAGTTTGAAATAAAAACAACATTTTTCTCCATTTTCAAAGCAGCTCTTGATTCTTGTTGCCGGAGGCTGTGAACAGAACCATCATGTCGCGCCTGTTAGTCGTCAGCGGTGCAGCAGCTGGGACGGATAACTCACAAAACATCGGAACTCATTGGACAAGTTTTTGTTGTGTCTGGGCAGAAAGTGACACATTGTCAAACTGAGCAGTTCTTTAGCCAGAGTCTCCATGACGGCTCCTGCAGAACCAAACACACACCATGCACATGTTTATCGTGACTGTGACGCACGCTCACAGGTCGACACCTGCTGAGCCTCACCTGTGCACAGCAGCACCTTGCCTTTGCTCAGGAACTTGACGGTCTGGGCGACTTTGCGCAGACACTCCTCGGACAGGTAAGGCGGGTCGGCGAGGACGATGTCGAAGCTCTGCGGAGCCACTCTGGAGGGGAGGGACAGCGGCTCGTTGTAGTCGTAGAAGATGAAGTCCTCTCCATAGGTGGAGAAACGGCGGTCGTACTCGAACACGACAGCAGACACTTGGTCAGAACCGCCCACCACGCCCTGCTTCAGCTTCTGGTACACGCTGGGCGCACTCACACACGCTATCCTGACAGGAAACACACGGAACCATGAGACTGCAGCTGACTCAACATCAGGTCCACTTCTGTTCTGGACGTCAGCGCACGAGCCATTTACCTGCCGCCTTCTCCTGCTTCTCGCACCAGCTCCTCTGCTAACTGTGCTGCCGTCTCGTCACTGTACCAGAACTGGCTCATCCTCTGTCAAACACAAGTTTCAGAAACTCAACTCACCGGAGTTCATGAAGAACACGTGTCATTTGTTCATCATCCACCTCACTGTCTCTGTCATCAGTCAGTGACATCATTCAACTCGATTCAGTTCATTTACACAGCAACAAGTCACAAGTCGTCTCAGCACAGAAACGTTCAAATATAAATCCAGTAATCCTCAGTCGGGTCATGTGGACAGTTTCTTTTTTATAGAGACGTTTCACCCTCTATCCAGAGGGCTTCATCAGTCAGAGGAGCTCCAAGTAAAATGTTTCCCCACCAAGCAGTAAACTCTTTAAGTGGACCAACCAGTTTGCTGGAGATAAGATGGTTTCTGGGGGCCGTCCTGTCCCCTGTCGACTCCTTGCAGGCAGGCACAACGGTTCAAGGCAACAAAGTTCATGCTCAATCATCCACGTACCAAATCCAATAATGCTCAGTCAGGTGGGGAAACAGTTTACTTGGAGCGCCTCAGACAGATGAAACCCTCTGGATAGAGGGTGAAACGTCTCTAGAAAAAAAAACTGACCAGATGACCTGACTGAGAATTATTGGATTTGGTACCTGGATGATTGAGCATGAACTTTGTTGATTCATATATAAAAATAATAACTGAACATTATTCATCTGAGGAGCAGCTTTGAGTTTAACTCCATCACTGAACTCTCATCTTGAACAAGCATGAAGGCGACAGTGGAAAGAAAAACTCCCTCATGAGGAAGAAACCTTCAGCAGAACCAGGATCAGGACTAGAGGACCATCTGCTTCGACCGGCTGGGTTTGGTAGGAATAGATACACAATGGCAGGTCAAGAATCACATGTTAGGATAGAAATAGTATCAAATGAAAACTATTCAGTTTTAACAATTCATTTAAGGACATGAGGTCAATTTGTCGTCTAGTAGTCTAAGTCTATAGCAGCAGAACAAGCCGACCCTAACTATAGGATTTATCACAAAGTAAAGTCTTAATCCCAGTCTTAAAACTGGACAATGTGTCAGCCTCATGGACAGAAACTGGAAGTTGGTTCCACAAGAGAGGAGCCTGATAACTGAAAGATCTGCCTCCCATTCTGTTTTTGTAAATTCTAGGAACCACAAGTAAACCTGCAGCCTGAGAGTGAAGTGCTCTGTTAGGAAAATATGGAACAATAAGATCTGTAATATAAGATGGAGCTAGGTTGTTGAGAGTTTTGTAGGTTAGCAGTAAGATTTTGAATTCTATTCTGGATTTGACAGGGAGCCAATGGAGAGAAGCTAAAACTGGAGAAATATGATCTCTCCCAGTAACTCCAGTTAAGACTCTGGCAGCAGCATTTTGGATCAACTGAAGACGTTTTAAAGAAGTATTTGGACACCCAGATAATAAACCATTGCAATAGTCCAGTCTAGACGTGACAAATGCATGGGCCAGTTTTTCTGCATCATCTTTAGATCAGATGTTTCTAATGTTAGTGATATTACGCAGGTGGAAGAAGGAGGTTCTAGTAACGTTTTTAATGTGGGGGATAAAAGACATGTCCTGATCAAAAATAACACAAAGATTTTTAACATTAGAGCTGGAGGACACATTAATGCATCTAAGGAGGGAGAAAGACTGAAACATTCATTCCTAAGGTGCTCAGGTCCAAAAACCAAAACCTCAGTCTTGTCTGTCCAACAGGAGAAAATTAAGGGTCATCCAGGTTTTTATGTCTTTAAGACATGCTTGTAGTCTAAGTAGCTGATTGGATTCATTGGGTTTAATGGACAAATATAATTGTGTGTCATCAGCATAACAATGAACATTTATCCCATACTGTTTAATAACTTTACCTAATGGAAGCATATATAAAGTAAAGAGTATTGGCCCAAGCACTGAGCCCTGAGGAACTCCATGACTAATTTTCACATCTCTCTTTTAAGCTCCATGTGGAAAACTTGGTAAAGAAACTGAAAGTTAAACTGGGTTTCTTTTTCAGAAACAGATCCTGTCTAACCCCGAATGCTAGAAAACGCCTTGTATCTGTGACTTTCCTTCCCTCAATTGGTTACGGTGACATTATTTACATGAACGCTCCTACAAGAACCCTGCAGATGTTGGATGCTGCAGATGTTGGATGCTGTCTATCATGGTGCACTAAGATTCATAACTGGCTGTGATTATCGTACCCACCACTGCACCCAGTATTCACTGGTTAACTGGACATCATTAATTTCACGCAGACTCTCTCACTGGTACATTTTCATCTTTAAATCACTTCTTGGTCTGCTGCCTTCATACATCTCCTCCTACATGTCTCTGTGTGAGTGCAGCTACAGCGTGCACTCTCAGGACATCATTACCTGCAGTGTTCCCTCAATGAGGACTGAACTAGACAAAAGGGCCTTCTCCTATTCCGCTCCTGTTTCCTGGAATATCTTACAAAAAGATTTGAAGCTCTCGACCTTTGACCACTCTAAGTGGCTTCAAACATCTGATAAGTTCCTGCAGATGTTCCTGTTTGTAGTTTTCTATATTCACCTTATAATCTAGCTGTTTATCCAAAAAAGTTCAATCTGGTCCTCTGGACATTCAAAAAAACAAAAAACAAAACAAAGCAAAAAAAAATGTAGAAATGTTTCGTCTCTCATCCTGAGGACTTCCTCAGTCTGAGGAGCTGTATTCAGCTCAGTCTCTTAAATAGCACCTTCTCAGAGTGGATCAACCAGTTTTGCTGCTGACAACCAAAACCAGCTGATCACATGCTCAAGAAGGACCATCAGCCTAACAATGGATCATTAGCACACTGATGGCTGTTTACTGTTCACAGAGGGCTGAGTGATACTAGCAATCACAGCATTGTAAGAGGGGGACAGTTGAACACGGAGGCTCCACCCCTGTTTAATGATGGACGATTTCTTTTCACAAAGATGGCCTCCTTTACTCCTCTCTCAAACCATCGTTCCTCTCTGTCCAGGATGTGAACATCTTCATCCCTGAAAGAGTGACCACTGGCCTGGAGATGAGTGTAGACCTGGCCTGATGATGTTGATCTTCTGTGCTGGGCCATCCTTTTGGCCAGTGGCTGTTTAGTTTCCCCGATGTAAGACTGATCACAGCCCTCCTGACACTGAACAACATACACAACATTACTCTGTTTGTGCCGGGGGACTGGATCTTTGGGATGAACCAGTCTTTGCCGTAATGTATTTTGGGGTTTAAAAGCCACTGGGACGTTATGTTTAGAAAATAAACGTCTCAGTTTCTCTGATACTCCCTCAACATATGGAATGACCACTGGTCTGGGTCTGGGTTCCTCCTTTTCACCTGTTGGCTGACTGGAGTCCTGTTTGGGTTTCTTCTCTGCTTTCAGGAAGGCCCAGTTAGGATATCCACATTTCTCTAGAGCCTGTCTTGTGTGGGATTTCTCCTTCTGCCTGGCTCCTGAGCTAGTGGGGACGCTGTCTGCTCTGTGACACAGAGTCCTGATGAATCCTAACTTGTGCTCCAAAGGGTGATGGGAGCCATTTTTTTACATCTTCTCGTGTGAACTTGATGTATTTATCCACAGAGTTGATGTGGTCAGTAAAATGTTGGACTTCCTGAGATTTGATTTTAACCCAGGTGTCGTCAACATACCTGAACCAATGACTTGGTGGTGTCCCTGAAAAGGACATCAAGGCTCTCTTTTCTACCTCCTCCATGTATAGGTTGGCAACAATAGGAGAAACTGGAGACCCCATAGCACACCCATGTTTCTGCCTATAATATTGCTCCCCATATGTGAAGTAGGTTGACTGCAGGCACAGTTTCAAGAGTTGACATAGTTGTTCTGTGGAAAGCGTGGTCCTGCTGCTCAGAGTGGTGTCTGATTTTAATCTTAAACTGACCACCTCTACTGCATCATCAACAGGAATGCACATAAAGAGTGATGTGACATCAAAAGAGACCATTGTTTCATCAGTCTCCATGATGACATCCCTCACCTTATCCACAAAGTCCATGGTGTTCTGTATGTGGTGTTCTGAGCTGCCAACTAAAGGGATGAGTACAGATGCCAGATATTTGGAAACATTGTAAGTGACAGAGTTAATCATGCTAACAATTGGTCTTAAAGGTACACCTTGTTTGTGGATTTTAGGTAAACCATACAGACTAGGTGTGGCCTCCCCTGGGTACAGTCTGTGGTACAGAAAACAGTCAGTAGCCTTGTCCTGCTCCAAACTAGCTGTTTTTTTTTTTTAAATACCATTTTATTTTATCGTATTATTCCCAATTTGTATGAATCTTTCATGATTGTTCACTGTTGTCATCACTCTGTTTAAATCAGGTGTCTCTTGTAAATGAGTCCCTGAGGCTCAATGGACTGACCTGTACAGATAAAGGTTGAATGGTATAAAGACGATTCATTATTTACATTTACAAACTGGAATAAACTGATAAAGTGATGGAGTTCTACAATCCTATAACCTCACCCAGTCCTCCTGCACTGCTCCCACAGAGAATGGGTCCGAGGGTGTGGTATCGTGATCTGGACCTGTCTGTGTCTCCTTGTAGAACTCTTGTAGGGCATGCAGGGTGTGAGCAGACAGGGTGGGAACATCGTCATCATCGCTGTCGCTCATGGCTGAAGGAGAACAGACGTCCTTCAGAGTTGAAGAGATGATGTTCTGCAGGAGCTAAAACTGAGAACGAAGGAAAAACAGATTCAGAACTAGTTTTAGATCTGATCATGATTTGACTGCAGGTGAAAGAGACATATCTTCATGTGCAACACCATAAACCATTCAGAAACACATCTGCTAAACACTGCAGCAATAGTTCCGCTGGAAATGCAAGAAAGAACAAGACAATTTCCAGTTAAGACACCATCTTAGCACCAACATAACTGGTTTGTTCCACTTTGGAGTAAGCTGTTGGGGGAAGAATCAGTTTTGTTGTGTGTTTCCTTGACTGATGAAGCCTTCTGGATTGAAGGTGAAAAGTTTCAGCAGAAAAAAAAAAGAAACTGTCCAGATGATCTGACTGAAAAATGTTGGATTTCCAGTTAAGTGTTAAAATGAAACACAGATCAGAATAAATCTATTTAACATAAGCAGATCTGAGATAAAAATGTCCTGTCTGTCATGAGCAAATATCTACCAAGTTAAACACACACACACGTCTCTCAACCTACAGAGGCTAAAAACTGCATCACGTTTGGTTATCGCACCTTCAAAACACTACTGTTTACTGTTACATGTTGTTTAGTAGACCTGTCACGAGAACAAATTTTACTGGATGATTGTCTCAGAAATTATTGTGATAAACGATAATATTGTTTGAAATTTGACAATAATTAGCAACTATTGTCAAATTTAAGAAGAAATGTTGGTTCAATTGTTTT